TCTGTAATTTCTTGCCATCGGGGCACCTTTTTGTCATATGGAGTGGCAGTGGAAAATGATGCCGCTAATGACATCTGGCGTTTTGCTATTTTAGGTTGCCCCATTGCACTTGGCTTGTTTTCGTCTCTTAACTTTGAGCATTCTTTCCATTCTACTTGATGTCTTTGTTGCAAATGTTGGAATAAATTAGTGGTGCTGCCACTGCCGGTTGCAATGGACTTTCGGCATATTTTGCATTTGACAAAAGTTTGTTCGACGTCTGACCTCTCAAAGCCGAACCATTTCCAAACCACAGAGGAAACGTTACTACCTTTTTTTGGCACAAGGTCATCTTGATGTGAAGAGCCACCCGTCTCCATGATGTTTTTTCTATAGCCTATTACGTTCCTTCATAGAGTGCTCTCACACGCAAGCGGTTAATTAGGCGCGCCATCATGTGGTCAGACAATAATGCCTTTTAATTACTCTGCCATTAGTGTAATGACAATGTATCTATTTTTTATTATAATTAAAAATCACGATACCTCGATTTAAGAAAAAAAATAATCGCCTTAAAACTTAAATTTGAATGAATCAAAAAAAAAAAAAAATCGAAAGAATCGCCTAGCCCTACCATCAGCATTGTTATTACATTAAGAGTCATTTCATGAAGGGAATTTTTCAGGCTAAACTTGGTAAGATTTGTCCACATGTGTATTTTCACCTGTCAGGCACGATGCACAGTTTCACAGCTGTCTGAGTAGACGGCTGTCTGTGTTCCACAGGTGTGATGGAGCTTAACCTTTGGTCCAACTGTCTGTTTGGGGAGCATAAAGGCCTAAATTAAAAGACGATTTATGTAGAATACACAACACAAAAATAAATCCAAAAACAGCCTCCACAGAGAAAGCAAAGACTGTCTGGTGTCACTGATGGGCTAAGTTATCACCTACTCATCCTATCTTGACAAAAACTGTAATGTAGATATTGTGTACCTGTAGTCTCCTGAGGCGCTGCAGCCTCTGTAGCCACCGTGGGACCGAGAACAGTTTGACCTGTTTGCCACACCACCAGCTGAGGGCTGGCGAAGAGAGGATTGTGGCCTCACTAAAAACATGGAAAGATGGATAACAGATTCGATTAAAGAAAATAATGAGGAACGATGCAGAGTAATGTTTGATGAATGAGGAGGCATCACCCAGACAGATTTTGGAGGCTTATGTCCTCACCTGTCATTCCCACTAGAGACCCCTATGCTGTCTACACCTAGGATGTAGCCTTTAAAATCTGCTGCTTCTCTCTCTGTTCATGCCTTTGCAGGCCTATAACCTTGATTTAAGAGACAGACCTGTGTGTTCTAAGTAACAAGACTCAAGTACCATTGAGTGCGTAAGGGTTGGAAGGCTTGAATCTCATCCTGCAGTTGACAACATGGGAGCGACCAGATTTCTTGGAGCTCTTCTGTTTGGCCACCAGCTCAGCAATGTGGGCCGTCTCTTGACACACTGCTGCAAAGCACTGCAGCTACAGAGAAGGTTCACTGTTACAATCTGAGACACATTTTGGCTGGTAAAGGTTGACACACTCATTATGATTCAGCCAAGTACAAACAACCTTTTTGAGTTTACAAGGGCACAAAAATGTTTTGGTGTCATGCCAAGACAGGCTAGTAAATGTACTATTATATGAGACAATGGTCTTAATCTTTGGTAGACAATAAATGCAACCCTCACCTCACCCATGCGATTCTCCAACCGGACCACAGAAGGGATGCTCCTGAGATAATCCTCCAGCCTTGAGAAGCCTAGCTTCTTCAGTGGGATGCTCTCTCCACACAGTGACTGGAACTCTGAGTGGAGACTGCTAATGGAGATGCCAGCCTTGCTGGACTGGAGCACAGACCGCAACATTTTCTTTATGGACTCGCTGTCCGACATCCTGACAAACACAGGCTGAAACAGAAACAACATAGAATTAAACAAACAAACAAAAACTGAACTGAAGGAGTAACAACTGATTCTCAGTCCCAAAATTTTTTATTCTGTAAAAACCAGTGTATATTGGTCAAAGCTCTGCACAGCTTATCACAGCTACATTTCTCCTGATTTAAAGGCTGAAGACAAAGAGGCTAAACCAGTAGTGCTTCCACATTCTATGGGGCTCTGTGGATATTACTGATGTTACATACAGCACAGTCTCAAAGCATGTGTGGAATATGTACGTCCAGCTGCTGCTGACACTTGGTTATTAGGGCTTGTATTGTTTTTCAGAGAACTATGTGACTGAAGACAAACAAGGCCTTGGGTTCAGAAGAATCACATGATGTTCATAATTCTTGGTTTCTTCAAAGCAGGTGAGGGCTTTGACACAAGAGCTACATACATTAATTGATACAGAACTGTAAGCAAACATTCACTATTTTTTCTTTTTATAAACATTTTTCATAGAAAGAGATCAGAGGGCTTGTCTAATATGTTAATCACTGGGTGGTACTGTAGCTCCTTATAAGATTTTAAAGAGGTTTAATATATTGGGCAACTGTTTGTAGAACGCATTTTAATAGGATGAAGAAAAATGCAATGCCAGCTGTGAAGCCATATGGCTGCTCTTACTTACATATCACTAGTGTAAACTGTTGAATGAAGTTTCCACAAAATACTTTAGTCATTCAACTGGCTGCAAAACATCAGCGCTTCAGCGGCCTCTTTTCACCGATCGGTTTTTGGTGAGTGTTAGAAATTACCCAATTTTTTTGTTGGAAGCACGAGAAGTGAGGACAGGAGAGGACTGTTTAAAATCAACAGAAAGTTTACTGGAAGTCTGAGCACAGGTGAAGTCTTACAGCGCTGGTATCAGAGAGACAGAGCTCCCGCAGGAATTCCATCCTCTGAACCACAAGTTAGGTTTTTACAATACTTTTAAGTTCTTGGGCTGCTCTGCCCTGGACAGAGATACAACATTCCATACTTTGTAATCCTGTTGGCCATTTGGTGTAAGCAGGAGCTCACACCTCCTTGCTGGAATGTGGTAAAATCCAGGTATGTGTGTGTGCGTTTCTCACGTGGCAGTTTGATCTTGATCAATGAGCACTGAACAATGGGTGATCTGGGTTGCAGGCCCCCTGTGTGTGTGATACTAATAAGTATGCTAAACTGGCCAGGTGGTCATCTCAGGTTGTGGGTCCCCCTGTGCGTGCGTGCGTGTGTGTGTGTAAGACACCCCATGACAAGGCAGACCTTGGGATATGCTAAGTGGGTCCAGGTGTGGGTGCAACACACGCCAGCAGGTCTCTGTTAAAATCTAAACTGGCTGTCTGGTTGTTTGGAGATGCAGACACCCTGCCTCTACAGAAGTTACAGCATACAGTCTCACTGTTATACTCAGCACAATACAGCAGTCATCAATACAGTTTTAATATGTATAAGCAAGGAAAATAAAGGTATGAAAAATAACTGAAAGAAAATGAACTGAAAAGTAACTAAAGGAAATTAAAGGCATTAGAAGTAACTAAAGCTTATAAAGTAACTAGAGCCTATAAGAATCAAATCTTACAGTGAGTTCACTACATTAATTTAGAGTTGATAGTTATTTTAGTTGATTTAAAAACATGCACAAAAGAAGAAAACTGTAACATTAATTTAACCAAGAAACAGACTCGAAAGTGAGGCCCTACGTATTTCATCCCTTTAAAAACAAGGATAGATTTTAATTAAATCCTACTTGGCGGAGTAGTACAGGTATGTGCCAAAAAAATAGAATATCAAGTCCATTTATTTCAATAATTTGTTTCAAAAAGTGAAACTTGTATGTTATATTAGTTCACTACACACAAAGTGAAATATTTCAAGCCTTTATTTGTTTCAATTTTGATGATTATGGATTAAAGACAAAAAAAAAAACCCAAATCCAGTATTTCACAAAATTAGAATATCATGACAAAGTTCAACATTGTAGGCTCCCTGTGTCCCAATCTAGTCAGCTAATTAATGCAAAACACCTGCAAAGGTTTCCTCAGCCTTGAAATTGTCTCAGTCTGGCTTAGTAGGCTTCAGAATCATGGGGAAGACTGCTGACTTGACGGTTGTGCAGACGACCATCATTGACACCCTCCATAAGGAGGAAAAGTCTCAAAAGGCAATTGCAAAAGAAGCTGGATGCTCACAGAACGCAGTATCAAAGTATATTAACAGAGTCTTAAGAAGAAGGGAAGAATGTGGCCGGAAAAGGTGCAAAAGTGACAGGGATGACCGCAGCCTTGAGAGGATTGTCAAGCAAGGGC